CCTAATTGTGGTTGCAGGGGTCGAGATTCAGCTCCTGGCCCCGCCTCTTCACTGATCGCTACTGGGTCCTCTCTCTCTCTGCTTCCTGAGCTTTGTCATACCTCTTCTTAAAACTATGTATGGTTCCTGCCTCCACTACTTCACTTGTGTGTGTGTGTGTGTGTGCGTGTTCGTGTGCGCGTGCGTGTGTGTGTGTGTGTGTGTGTGTGTGTGTGTGTGTGTGTGTGTGTGGTGTGTGTGTGTGTGTGTGTGTGTGCAGTTATCTTGCCTCAGGTGTGTACATTCTTTAATATTAATCAACATATATGGAACAGAGAAAATTTTTAGCCATATGTGGGCCGAAGCTTTCCAGTGGTTAGTTAACTTGATTTTTCTTCTTTTTTGCTAGGTTATAAATGATCAATAACAACAACGAGGAGGGGAACGACTGGGTTAGGACATGGAAGTGGAAAAGCCTGTGGGTGGACAGGAAAAGTGAGGCAAGGTTAAGTGGCCTGGCCACTTTGGGTGGGTTTTAAGAGAGAAGTTTTTGTCATATAGGTTTGAGTGCTTCAGGTCGGGTTTTTTCTCTTTGTTGTAAAAGTTTTTACCAAATGCAAATCGATCGATCAAGGAATGATCACTATGGAGTGAATATTATTGTTATGTTATTAAGGGTGAGGCATTAAGCCTTTAAGGGTTATATAGCATTTGGGGATGGGTGGCAATCAAATTTGATCCAAGGACTTGGAGGACTGCCCCAGTTTTTTTGAGCTAAAGCCCTTCACCGACATCAAGGCACATCTCTGGCAGTGTGTTCAAGTGAGCCCTTACGTATGGGCACAACTTAACTTTAAACGTTGATGGTTGTCCATCTTCGGGTAAAATAGCAATTTTTCATGCCACCTACGAAGTTGTTCCTGGTGGGAGACCTTTGGGGTAATGGCCTTGTACATAGGGGAAAAGGTAAATTGACATATGGGCTTTTGGAAAGGGTCAGGAAAAAAGGGGTTTCGGGGGGGGGGGGGGGAAATGGCGGGAAAAAAGAGTTGGGGGTTCATACTTTTCCCTACCTCGTCCAGTTTTTAGGGAAAAACTTTTCCAAGAGAGGGGTTCCCTTTCCTTTGTGTCGTTAAGTCCCTATGCGCTTTTCTCTTCCTTTTATTTTTTCCTTAACTACATTTGCAAAAAAAAATTTACCACAAAAGTTTTAGTCCTCCCCTCCGTCCCCCCCCCCCCGCGAAATTAACTTCGTCTCTAAAGGGAAACCCAACCCTCGTTCTTTTAAAAACACAAATCTGTGTTCTCTCATTTGCCGTAGTAAAGCCATCTTTAAAGCCTCGGGCAAAAAAATTTTCATGTGTTCTCTGAATAATCAGGAAATTTTCCGGGGATGGGGGTTTAAAAGGAGGTCTTTTAAAGGGGGTTCATTCCAGAGAAAAGCCCTAATTTAATTCCCCCTAATAAAATGCTGTTTTTGGATTAGCCGTGCCAAGGTAGGTAAAAGTGTGATAAAAGCCAGAGATGTCGGGGGTTTTACCTTTTTACGGACACGAAACCTTTCCTTGGTAAAAAGTTATGAGCAATTTTCCGACCACAATGAGCTTGGCTTCTTCGGGGAACTGTGCCATATATTTAAGTTTATGGGAAGGGTTTAAACTTTTAAGAGCTAGTGTTGCAAAAACCTTTTTTCACATCTGGTAGCAATTTAAAATTTTTGATGGGAAAAATATGCTGTAAAAATACGAATTTCCCTTTAATTGACAAATTTAAAAAAAGGGAGTGAGACAATGCTCGCTGCTCTGCACATTCATACAGAACCCTTTAGTTATAACCTTTTCCCCTAAACAGAATTTAAAGAGGAAAAGGCTCACTTACCCCCCTCCCCTCCCTCTTCCTCTCTTTCCCGTCGGGGCTGTCATCCTTTCGCAGTTCTTAACTTTCAAAGGAGGTTTGGGTTTTTGAATTTTAAAAACCCGCATTTGGGGGAGCCTTTTTTCTATTGTAGAAGCTATGTTCCCGTCTCTCGCTCTGAAGGTCGAAAATTGGGATTCTCGGGTGAAAATCCTAGTCTGTCCTTAAAACCCTGGGCCACAAGTACTTACGAAATCGTTTAAAAACACGAATGCAAACAAACCCCGGAACGATTTAACTTTTTTTGAGCCAAATGAAACCAATTGGCATACACACTGGCCTAAAATTTAAAATCACTTTTCCTGGGGGGGACACCCCCACCCATTGCGTGTTTTTTTTTTCTGACGCTCATTTTCTCTGAAGATGTTATTATGTGTGTATATCTGTTTCCCACAGAAGGAGTGGCATATTGTTGGGCCTCTTGCCCTTGGTGACGGGTTTGTCTTTAAAGCCAATTATAGGCAGAAGAATGTGTTTTGTACCTTCTCCAAGTCATGTGATTAGCAAATGCTTACCTCATAGCAGATATAGCTAAGACAGCGCTACTTTGAAGGCTAGATCACATAATGCTGTTGGAGGTTCAGGAAGTGAATGGTGAATGTATTTCCTTGCTTCACACAAACAACTCACACATAGGAGAGAGAAGCCCAGGGCTTTTCTCTCATATGTGCGGGTTATTTGTATGTTGTTCCAGCCACAGTATTGTGCCTTTTTGTTCTATAGTTCCTTGCTTGCTATCATCGTTCCTGGAACCAGGCACCACATTCGGTGGCGGCGAGCATTAAGGTAAATGTGCTAGCGCGGGAAAAATTCATTCTTCTCGACCTATTGGGATAGTAAGTGGCGTGAGGTCAGCCGATACATCCGAGCAGTCTGTAAGTAATTGTATCTTTAGGTAGGTCAGCCACGACTAGGTCGAGGGAAGAGCAAGATAAATGGACGGGGGTGATCACGAAATACTACAGGTAATAAAATACGAGGAATTCTTTAGGGTTCCACTCTCTGAGGCACTGACTGAAGTAAGTCTTGGTTAGTTGATGGTTAGTTGGGAATTTCAACAGCTATGATATTGTGACTTTTATTCTTTACTATATCAGAGCGACTGTTATTATTATGATTATTATTATTATTATTATTATTATTATTATTATTATTATTATTATTATTATTATTGTTGTTATTATTATTATTATTGCCATTGTCGTCATCATATTCATGGAGTAGCGCTAAACCCAAAAAGAGCCATATAGCACCCGGGGGGAATGGGAGAGAATCATTTCTGATCTGAGGAGGGTAAAAGGTATCTCCAATACCTCGAAGAAAGAGTCCATCACCATCACGAGGCACCTTCCTGGAAGACTCAGAACGTCGCGTGTTCAACGCAAAACTGCGTAAGCTCACCAACATCGGTAATGAAGACTTCCACGTTATCAGAGAGTGAGCTGATGAACTGCCTGCTGATCGTGCTTGTACTCAGTCAGGCTAGGCGGGGGTACATGTTGCCTGTCCTTGTGACGGGTAAAACACGGACTGCTTTGTATCCTCGTTCTCTTGTGTAACTTAAAGCCATAATGGGCAACTGGAGTTAAGAGTAGCCTGCGTGCTCTTACACAGTTCTTTCTTTTTTATTTAGCATTCACTCTCTCTCTCTCTCTCTCTCTCTCTCTCTCCTCTCTCTCTCTCTCTCCTCTCTCTCTCTCTCTCTCTCTCTCTCTCTCTCTCTTTTACACAAGGTTTGACAAGGTTAAGGATCCCTAGCTTTATTGACAAGCTATTTACAGGTTAAGGATCCCTAGCTTTATTGACAAGCTATTTACAGGTTAAGGATCCCTAGCTTTATTGACAAACTATTTACAGGTTAAGGATCCCTAGCTTTATTGACAAGCTAAGAGCTGTTACCTACATCAGCTCATTTGAAAGCATTTTTATTGTTATGAAACATACAAGCCATCTGTGGGCCAGCATTTCATTTGATGAACTGACTTTATATATATATATATATATATATATATAATATATATATATATATTTATATATATATATATATATATATATATATATATATATATATATATTATATATATATATATATATACATATATATATATATAATATCTTTACGTAAAGAGGGAATAGGGTAAAAAATGTATGGAAAAAGACACTATTGTATACTTCAGGACATTTATTTAAGAAAACGTTTCCCCGCCAGTAGCTTCATGGGTCTAGTGTTACTTGCCTGGTAGTCAACTCTGGTGGGAAGTAGTTAAGAGCCTTACCAGATCACCTCAGACTAAAACAAACAATTGAACAACAGTAAGAAAGCACACATGACAATATAAAAAGCTTGGGTATATAATTAAGAAACCCTAATAAAAAATACTCCAAAAAATAAACTTCTTCAAGGTTAGTACTAAACTGGTTTTAAGTTAGTTGATCAAGCATTTGTTTATCAGCATAGAAATTTAAAACGTTTCAAGACCTATAATAATGTGATTTTTAATGATGTGATTTTTTTTTTTAGGTAACTGGTAAAACGCATTTTTACCAATATAGACTTAATGGATACAGAAAAAAAAAAGTTTCAAGAGAGCTATTGATGTAAAAATGCTTTTCTTAAGTCAGCTGGCAAAACCTCTCATCATCAGATCAGTCCGTGATGAGAGCGAGAGTGATGCAGCAAAACTCTTGACTTAATCAGGTGTTGGCTTGGGAATTATTCTCGAGGTTGAACTTTGTCATCGCTGACACCTGCACAAGACAGAATAACAATGTTAAATACATAACAAGGGAGGAGTGGCAAAAAGCATCAATAACATGACCCCAGGCAAGCATGACATGGCCCCTCAGCAAGTCACAACGTGGACCCCTCAGCTAGCTGTAACATGGCCTTCTCAGCCAGTCATAAGGTGGCCCTTAGCTAGCCGTAATATGGCCCCTCAGCAAGCTGCAAAATAGCCCCGCAGGCAGCCTTAACATGGCCCTTTAGGTAGTCCCAATACTGCCCATCAGGCAGTGGTCTCTCAGCCAGCCCTAACATAAAAAATAATAATATCGCTACTCCGAGTATTATCATCATATTTAACCTGGTTGTTTGTCTGTCTACCTTAAAGAATTTACGTCAATCTCGAAAATGCATCTAATTGTTAAAGAGTGTATGAGGAGAGAAGAATGCTCCTCAGAGAGATCTATGGCACGTTACAAGAAGGTGAGGCACAAATTAGCACCTTGCACCTCCCTCGTAAAGTAACATCACGAGACAGCAATACTCTGGCTAGCCTGCGGGCGACGCGGCCGCCGTGCACCGGTAAAGTACCTCATGTTACTCTCCTCTGCCCTTCCCCGCAGGCTCGTGGGAGAGAAAATCTCCAGCTTCCAGTGCCTCGTAATCCGAGTACGAAAAGGGTAATTAGACTAAGAGGGGAGGATAATTGGGGCAAGGTAGTAGGAGAGTGAGGGAGGATAATTATAAGCGAGAGGGATCTGACCCGCACCTTGCGTCACCTGGGGGTAGGGCAGAGCAGCGCCCGCCTCCATGTCTCCTACGCTCTCTCACTACCTGCCTCCACCCGCCCTTTTTTGGTATCTATTTTAATATTATAACCACTTCTATTTAACCAGTATCGTCTCGTACATATTTCGCCAGCTCTGGGCTACTTGAAGCATTGGTGTTGCTGTCGATAGTTGGGCACTGAGCCGTGGCTGTGATATGTGGCTAACAAGGTTACGCTCGCCAAGATTACTGCTCGCGAAAACCATCCCGCATCGGTAATATTTGCTGGGCGTTTTCGGCCGAATGAGGGATGAAGACGATAGCTGGGCAGTTGTCTGTGTGAAGTGGACGAGGCCGCAAGGAAGCAGCCAGGCCTCTCCTGCACCACCAGCACCCACACCTGAAGGTGGTCACCACACGTGATCGTCGCCACCACCAGCCAATACCTCTTCTTCAGGCAGGTGAAAGTCAAGCATTGCAGAGCGAGGTCCAGCGTGTATACCATCGTGGCGGTGACCATAAACAGTGCCACTCACAACCTGCTGTTCACCCCCCCCCCTCCAGCTGCAGCTGCTGCAGCTGCTGCTGCTGCCCACGACACTCAGTCTAGCCGCAAGCACCACGCTGTTAGGGCGTCCCAAGGATCTCTCCAGCACTGAGTTACGCGGTCACTCACCAGGATATATTTACATACACGAGTGACGTACATCGGACACTCTTGGTGCACATAGATATACATATGATTACCTTATGCGGTGTCGTCAAAATAAGTGCAGTGAGGGGCTATAGTGACACTGGGTCCTGGTGCCTGTGAATGAAGTGACACAAGGTCTTCCCTTGACTGTGAATGAACACAGTACACTGAGAGAGCTGTACGTCACTACACACGCTCCACTCATCATTTTTCCTGTAAGTTATTTTTTCTTTCTTATTATAAGTCCTTGTCTTTAACTTGTTCCTTTACTTTTATTTTAGCTTCGCACTGTTTTCCACAAAAAAACAAAAACAAAATATACTCTTAGAAAACATTTGGTAATTGCAAATAAGTATCAAACTTACAAAAAAAAAATGTTTTTATATCCATCTTGAAGTATGTGGTAGCAAGATAATTTATTTCAAAAAATCTCTCTGGTAGCTGATGCAGTTACAGTAACTGAGTATCTACAAGCATAGTGTCATCCCAGGTACTCCACTGTACTAGGGAATAGCAAATAAGTATCGTACATAAGAGGAATATTTTCATATTGTTCTTGGAGAATGAGGCAGCCTGGGAAATTTGTTAATATCTGGCTGGCATGCCCCACAGCTACAATAACTAAGTGCCTACCAGCATAGTCTCCCTGTCCAACTACTTCTTATTGCTGTGGCAGCTTATCACAGCATCTATTACAGCCATAAACATTCTCGCTAACGAAGAACAATTTGGTCAGTAACCCAAAAGCTGTCCGGTACCTGGCGACCCATGCGTGAGTTGCCAACCTCTCATCCTCCCACACATTTCTTTTTGAATCCCTATACACTGGCTTTATCTGCTAAACACATTAAACAGACGGAGAAGTGCATAAAACTGCAACAAAACAATATATAATTGCGAGGGAGCCGCAGTGGTGGCCCGGGGTGAAAGCTGGCAAAAGGCGGCCTTATAAGGTATAATGTATTAGGAGTCAGCAGACGGCCTTTTTATCTAGCGGTTTGATAGCCCTGCACAGCTGTTAATTCTTCGCTGTTTTTGGCTTTAACTATGCACTTTTTGCAAAAAATTTTCTTGGGTTTTGGTTACAAATATGAACTTGTGATGTGTGAGGTATTACAAACATGGTAATCGGCCGATTAAAAAAGTGTTTCTTATAGGCAAGGTGAGACCTCAGGATTTGTCATTCAAAACACGATCTCGTCTCACCATCTTTTCTTAGCTTGAACGTCAATAAATATCCATTTGCTGCTTGCTGAGTAAGAAGTGTGAGATTACACCCCTTAAATTCCACGTGAATTCCCCTTCAGCTTCATTACCATTTGCGTAGTTTACCGACCTCGAAATCTTTAGCTTCGTAACCACTTGCGTAACTTTCTGATTACAAATGTTTTAGCTGCATGACTACCGCGTAGATTATCGATAATAAGAGTATCATACTCAGCCATGGGTATGATAAGTAGCGGCCTGAAGAGCAAGATAGAATGGTCTTTGTGGTGACCTTACCAAGAATTTTGATTACGCTGCGGAATTTTAATGAATGGCGAGTGATTGTGAAGGTGGGCAGGCATGACCAGGATGCCATTCCCTCACGCACACCCACCGGCCAACTTCACTTATCAATGAGTGTGCTGGAAAGTGCGTCTTTACGACGAAATTTTCTTAAATGCTGTATGTCGTGAAAACTTAAAAAAAAAGGCTCAAAACCATGAGAAATTGTCATTAATATGACGAATAGTGTTATGACAAGTTGTCGGTCTTCGACAGGGTGTCAGTCTATGATAGGGTTTGAATCTCATGACATGGTGTGAGTCTCACAATCGGGTGTTAGTCTGTGATAGGGTGTGAATCTGATGACAGGGTGTGAGTCTCATGACAGAGTGTGAGCCTCACAATCGGGTGTTAGTCTGTGATAGGGTGTGAATTTCATGGCAGGGTGTGAGTCTCATGACAGAGTGTGAGCCTCACAATCGGGTGTTAGTCTGTGATAGGGTGTGAATTTCATGACAGGGTGTGAGTCTCATGACAGAGTGTGAGCCTCACAATCGGGTGTTAGTCTGTGATAGGGTGTGAATTTTATGACAGGGTGTGAGTCTCATGACAGGGTGTGAGTCTCATTACAGAGTGTGAGTTTCATGATAGGATGCCAGTCTTTCACAGTCTCAGTTGTTAACTTTAATTTTCATTAGAACTATTTTGAAAAATGTGCTTTCAGTTACGTGGCATATTTACGCCTGAAGGAACAATTATTTTAAGGCAGGAAAATAACCCAGTATCTGGACAGCTTCTCACTCTTCATCATCGAATTTTGTTACGAAATGCCCTTGAACTCTTGACGATGGTGAAGGGCTCTTGATCCAAGGAACTGGGTCTACCCTACACCTCCCCCTTCTCGGTTCACAGATGATTGCATTTCATTTCCCAGACGCTGCATAACCCCTACGAGTGTAGCGCTTCCCTGTGACTAATAGAGCTCATATCACATCTAGTCTGCCATATGTTTACTTGCACTGCTTCGAGGTCAAAGAAATAATTTGATTTAACTTATGTAGATATCAATCTAAACACACACAGACACACACACACACACACACACACACACACACACACACACACACACACACACACACACACACACACACACACACACACACCACACACACACACACACAGAGATTTCAATACCGTGGTAGATAGTGATCTCATTGGGCGAAATAATGAGGTAAGAAGGCCAGCCTCTCACGCACCCTCGATGATAACTATCATTGCTGATGCTTGAAGGACGCTGATTCTAACGCTGGAATATACAGTCAAACCAAATCTTTCGGCTTTGAAGTAGCAATCTTCATACATATAGTGATTTCAGGGTCATTACTGTAATATTACGGTCAATACTAAAGGTAGAACACTTTGACTACCGTACCGCCTGGTCACCCACGTGTCAGAGCAGTGTTCCTTACCGTTGAAACTGCGTGAAAGGCCACAATGTATAGCAAGCTCATATCCAGTCTATAATAACCTCTATAGCAGTGACTTAAAATTTTATTATAGAATATATAATAAAGATTTACAGTAGTTTCTGCAACGTTTATAATAACATAATATTAATACAGCGATGATATACTGTACACTCAACTGTAGAGAAGAAATATTTAAAAGTTATATGAAAGCTGAAGGAGCAGACACACCCTTCAGGGAAGGTTCCTTGACGCTGGTGAGGGGCTCTTGATCTAGGGAATTGGATCTGTGCTCCAGTTCCTTGAATTGAATCTGAATACCTTGCATCACCCCCACCCCCCACAGGCGCTGTATAATCCCTATGGTTTTAGCGCTCCATGATTATAATAATAATAATAACAGACACAGGGTGTGTCCACGTAAAATTTCTAGGACATGAAAAGACGATTTTTAGGCAGAGTGACAAAGGTATACAAGCTTGAAGGAGACGGTGAAGCGTGTCATCACAATAGGACACCTGCTCACCTGGAGTCTACCTGGAGGGTGTTCCGGGGGTCAGTGCCCCCGCGACCCAGTCCTTGACTAGGCTCCTGGTGGATCAGGATCTGATCAACCAGACTGTTACTGCTGGCCGCATGTAGTCCAACGTACGAACTACAGCCAGGCTGGTCAGGTACTGACTCTATGTATGTGTCCAGCTCCCTCTTGAAGGCAGCCAGGGATCTTGAAGGCAGCCAGAGGCCTTGAAGGCAGCCAGGGGTCTTGAAGGCAGCCAGGGGTCTTGAAGGCAGCCAGGGGTCTTGAAGGCAACCAGGGGTCTTGAAGGCAACCAGGGGTCTTGAAGGCAACCAGGGGTCTTGAAGGCAACCAGGGGTCATGAAGGCAACCAGGGGTCTTAAAGGCAACCAGGGGTTTTGAAGGCAGCCAAGAGTCTTGAAGGCAGCCAGGGGTCTTGAAGGCAGCCAGGGGTCTTGAAGGCAGCCATGGGTCTTGAAGGCAGCCAGAGGTCTTGAAGGCAGCTAGGGGTCTTGAAGGCAACCAGGGGTCTTGAAGGTAGCCAGGGGTCTTGAAGGTAGCCAGGGGTCTTGAAGGCAACTAGGGGTCTTGAAGGCAGCTAGGGGTCTTGAAGGCAACCAGGGGTCTTGAAGGCAGCCATGGGTCTTGAAGGCAGCCAGAGGTCTTGAAGGCAGCTAGGGGTCTTGAAGGCAACCAGGGGTCTTGAAGGTAGCCAGGGGTCTTGAAGGTAGCCAGGGGTCTTGAAGGCAACTAGGGGTCTTGAAGGCAGCTAGGGGTCTTGAAGGCAGCCAGGGGTCTTGAAGGCAGGCATGGGTCTTGAAGGCAGCCAGAGGTCTTGAAGGCAGCTAGGGGTCTTGAAGGCAACCAGGGGTCTTGAAGGTAGCCAGGGGTCTTGAAGGTAGCCAGGGGTCTTGAAGGCAACTAGGGGTCTTGAAGGCAGCTAGGGGTCTTGAAGGCAACCAGGGGTCTTGAAGGTAGCCAGGGGTCTTGAAGGTAGCCAGGGGTCTTGAAGGCAACTAGGGGTCTTGAAGGCAGCTAGGGGTCTTGAAGGCAACCAGGGGTCTTGAAGGTAGCCAGGGGTCTATTGGTAATTTCCCACACGCCTGATGGGAGGCTGCTACGCAGTGATGCTGTCACCACTGCTGAGCACCATCTTGCAAGGGTAATGCTAATTTATCCTTTTTTACTATCCCTTTTCAGTTGTTGCACAGATTAGTTACTTCCACCTCATCCAATCCTTTCTTCTTTGTGCTCTTACTCCTTATTCTCTTCTTTTCTTCCTATCTTCGTCTTTTTTCATTATCCTTCTTCGTCTTCTCGTCTTCCTAATCCTTTCTCCCTTTTTCCTCCTTATTCTTCTCCGCACCCTTCTTGTCATCCTCCTTATCCCTACCTATTTCCTTCTCTTCTCCCTCCTTACCTTCTCTTTACTCATCCTTCTCTTTTTCATTCCCTCTGATGCACTCCCTATTTCTTTCCATTTCCTCGTGCTCTCTCCCTTAGTTTCTTCCACTCCTCTTATCTCATTCCATTTCATTCGTTCCCTCCTTCATTCCACACCTATTCCTCTTCTCTCCCTCCAGTTTTCCATCCGCACCTCCACCGCCCTCATTTTTTCCCTCTCCTCTCCTTTTCTCCCTCCCTTCTCTCCACCACTTCCACCCCCACCACATAAGACTGTCATGGGACTGCCTCATAAGGACTGTTTAGATCGCCTCCAGTCTTGCGGGGGGTGGGGAGGGAT